GGGGTTTGTTGGAGGGTGGTGGGCAAGCCCGGAGCCGGAGCCGCCGCCGAGGAGGAATGCCCACCCAGCCCTCCCCTGTTTTGCTCGTATTTTAGGCGCGGTCGCAGTCCGCGCCTTTAGGGGGGGGTACTGTCACACCCTGGCTCTGGGACTCATTATGTTGAGCCAGGGTGTGTTCATTCTATGTTTTCTGTTTCTATGTTGGGTGTTCTAGGTTGTCTGTTTCTATGTTTGCCTGTGTGACTCCCAATCAGAGGCAACGAGTGTCAGCTGTCGGCTGGTTGTCTCTGATTGGGAGCCATATTTAACTGCCTGTGTTTCACTTTGTGTTTTGTGGGTTTTTGTTCCGTGTTCGGTCAGTGTCACCGTGGACTTCACGAGTCGTGTTTTGTTTTGTACTTTAACTAATTAAAGTCATGTTTGTTTCACACGCTGCGCCTTGGTCTACTCACTCCTACGACGATCGTGACAGTAAGTCGCTCTGGATAAGAGCGTCTGCTAAATGACTAAAATGTAAATGTAAAATGTGAGTCAAAACATATTCATCCGCCAAAACCGCAGCCTCAGCGACAGTCTTTATTTTTCGTTCATTAACGTACGTCGCTATACGATCAGGGATTGTGTCCTTAAATTGCTCTAACATAATCAGATCACAGCCCTTGGAAAGTCATAACTGCAGAGGCGGAACACCAGCGATTAAACTGTGAAGATAATTATTGCGCAAACTCAACATATGTCTGCTGATCATCCATTTTTAAAGTTCTAAATCGTTGGCGGTAAGCCTTGGGGACCAATTCGTAAATCTGTAACATAGCCGTTTTAACCTTATCATAACTGACACTGTCAGCTACACTAAGAGCTGCATATGCTTCCTGCGCTTTACCAGTCAGCACACACTGCAACATCAAAGTGCGGTAAGAATCAGGCCAACTCCTAGCGTCAGCAACACGCTCAAACAACGAAAAGAATGTCTCAGGGTCCTTTTCATTAAACTGAGGCAACAACCGTAAGTTCCCAACAATATCAAATGTGTCTGGGTCACGACCAAAAGAGGAACGACCCCTAGGTAACTCTGGGTCACCTTCCCAGAGCAAACTCTCCCCTGAGAGCTTTCCTTCCCTAACCAACTCTAGTCGCTCTTGTTGCAGCTTGATTTTAGCACGCTCCATATCCTGTTTAAATTCCAATTCCCTTTCATATTTTACACGATCATGCCCTAGCTGTAACAGAAGCAGTTCTTTCTGCTGTTCAAAAAGAAGACTACTATGACTAACCGATGGAGCGGTCATTGTAACATATCGGGGAGACAACGAGTCCTCAGCAGAGGCTGCCCCAGTGGTAACTTCAAGAATACCACTCTCCATCAAATTGGCCTTCAATATTAACCTAATATAATTTTTTTGACGTTTATCATTCATTTCAACCTTGTAGTGTTCAGCAACCTTCAACAGCTGTTCTTTAGTACATAATTCTAACAGTTCCTCTGATGGAAAGCGAATGAACTCGTCTACATTAGACCCCATAATCAAGAGAAGAAAAAAAGTATTATAATAATCTCGCTCAATCCCTCTGCTGAGCACACCAGACACAACACGAGAAATGACAATCACACCGAGCACCACAGAAGAGAGATGGGATATGGAGCTTACCCAAAACCTACAATAACTCAACCCTAGTCTTCGTGCGGATTCGCGGTGGGTAATTACGCACTGTAGCCCGCTGGCAAGGAAATAAACCCCCCAGCACGCTGGTAGATTCCACCAAGCCATGGATATGCCCCTGAGACAACTGCTCAGTCCACAGACACCACACAAAAACAACAAACATTTAACCATGCCCAACGTATTCCAAAACATAACACGTCACTAAGCCTATCAGAGGAAAAGGCTATAGCTCCGGGTAGCAAATGTCCCTACCCTATCCCAAATCTCCCACTGAGGTACACAGCCGATTGTACTCACCTCCTCAGACCGATGCCCCAACAGCGAGTACAGCAAGAGTTTCCAGGCTGGGCAGGGCCTGGAAACTAACCAATGTACTCTCTCCAATGCAGTACACAACCCAAAACACCAAAGGCAACCAATACTGGGCCTATCAAACTCAAACAAACTAACAAAATATACAACCAAAGCACCTACAGAATTTAACATTAACTCCACGTTTTCTCCCACTTTCAAGATCCCGAACCGGCTCAAAGTTCGTAACAAAAGGGAGACAACGTGGAGACAAGGAATACCAAAATATATATTTATTAACTAAAGTAAACTAAGTACAATTACCAATGGTGTGTGTAATCAGTAATCAGTAGTGTAAGTGAGTGTTTTGCATGCATAAATGTAATAATGCAAGGTGTTGAAAGGTGCCAAAGCAAACAACCAAAAAGCCACAAAAATACCACAACAAAAATCAATAAAGGTGTCTGCATGGAGAGAGTCTCCCCAATGACTGTGGAAGAGGTCCATTTATCCTGGGACACACCCAAGCCCAGGTGTTTCCCATGTAGCTGACGACCCTCCCAACTCTGCCCACCGGCATCCTAATAAGGAAACAAGAGCAAAGAGAGAGAATACGGCAGACAAAGTGGGAGGGTCGTCACAATGCATAAATCTATACTTATTCTACTAAGATATCATCACTTGATGGGTCTAATAAACCAAGCTGATAACTGATCTATTCAAGAAAAACATAAATAATTAACATTGCATGTGTATTAGTATAGTATGATGATAGGCCTATTGCAAAGAGCAGTTGGATACCCACTGCTAAAAGCCATTACCCGCTCCTGTACGCATGACGCCCCTCAATAGCGGCTTTTCTTCCATGGTGCTCATCCCCATGTTCTATTTAATCCAGGAGGGAAATCATAGGAGTTTGCGACACCGTTATAAAGGATGAAAGTCTCTTATATTCACCAAATCGTACATTCACTTTGCGTCTGCCTTCTTGCTCCGTAGAACTGTTTATCCTGGCGCATGCCTCTGTTTTGTTTGTTGACTTTATTTTCTGCCAACAATTGGACCTAATGTGCGACAATGTTTGTGATCCCTGAAATGTAGCAATATGTAAATTCCCACGCCCATAAAACGTATAATATCCAGTTAGCGAGTGTGTATAGCCTAACTTTTGATTAATATAAAAAAACGGAAATTGGAAAAAATAAATGACCAAATCAAATAATCCAAACAATCTAAAAAATGTAGAGTGAACGTCATATTTGATTTACCCTGGCGTTAATGTTTGACAGCCGGCCATCCTCCTGTCTACGGTGCGCACATAAGCGGAACAATTGATTGTGTCCTCCTGAAAACTCTCCCAAAAGCGACAAGACAAACCGGTTTTCTTTTATCTCAAAGAAGAGAAAATAATATCATTATCATTTTATAATCTCTTATTTCCTACATTGTCATTATCCCTGTGAGTAGGCCTAGGCAACCTCAATTTCCTTTCATGAGTCAATAGATAATCTTATCCCTATAGGATATTGATAATGTATCTGGATGTATAGAGGCTACTGCCTAATCTCAAGATATCAAGATTGGATTAGAAAGTAGTGCTTGGTAGTTCAGTGGAGAAATAAGCCCCCCCACCTCTCTACCCAGCCGCCGCAGTCCTCCTATAATAAACAGTATATATAATAATATATGCCATTTTTACGTACAGGTGGTCCCGGGAATCAAATTCACTATCCTGACGTTGCAAGCGCCATGCTCTACCAACTGAGCTCCCACTTTATCCTCCTGTCTCCACCCTTTCCTCCTCCTACTTCCTACCCCTCCTCCGTCCTGCACCCTTTGAGCTGACCCCAACCTGGTCCTGGTGTGGTGGATTGGCCTGGGGAACAATGGCCCCACCAGCCCATGTGGAGACAGACAGAAAGTGTAACCACGGTGATAGAGCTGGGGTAGATCTTTAAATTCACATCATGTAGCGAAAACCCTTTCAGATAATCCATGTAGTACAGGAGGAGACACGGAGAGAGGGGAACAGAAAGGAAAAGCTTTGCATGACAAGTTAGTGTCTATTAGAGTCTGTGTGTGACCATTACGTTAATCACTAGTGTGTGTGTGTGTGTGTGTGTGTGTGTGTGTGTGTGTGTGTGTGTGTGTGTGTGTGTGTGTGTGTGTGTGTGTGTGTGTGTGTGTGTGTGTGTGTGTGTGTGTGTGTGTGTGTGTGTGTGTGTGTGTGTGTGTGTGTGTGTGTGTGTGTGTGTGTGTGTGTGTGTGTGTGTGTATGTGTGTGAGTGTGTGTTCATTTAGTGGGCCGGCTTTACTGACGTCTTTATGGAAGGCCATCACCATGGCAACAGCAAGCAATGAGTGTCTAATAAAAGGCTGCTCTCCTCTCTGGCTGTCGTTCTCTTTCTCCTATCTGCCTTTCTCTTTCTCTGTTTCACTTCCTTTCTCTTCTTCTGTCTGTCTTGCCAACCTACGTAGCACAGCATGCTCAACATCAGCAGAGGGAGATAGATAGAACAGCAAAAGCGAGGCAGAAGAAAAGGACAGGAATATGACTAGCTCTAACATCTCACTCCGCCATCGAGTGGAGCCCTCTGTGAATGCAGCCTGCTGTGTCATCCATCATCCATCTGTGTGGGGGACATCTTTGATCTGTCAAAGAAGAGGATCTTTGATTTACCAGAGTTGGATATCTTTGTGACCTGTTGTGGAAAAATCTATTTTGAAATCTACTAGAAAAGGATGTCTTTGTACAGTGGGGGATCTCTCCTCATTGTGTATTTCTAAGGAGGATAGGAGAGTGTGTGTCCTTTGTGTTGGCCAAGGCAAGGCTCTCGGAATACTGTTATGGTTAATAGGATACTGTGGCTGCACATGTTACATTGCATCAACCCATAGAAAATACTTGATTCAGGGATGGCCCACTCACTATTGAATCGTTGACTATGCTGACTGCTTTGGTGAACACAAAAAAATTATCGCATGACAAGTATGATATGATATTGAGCTATAAATGCATTCAACTCAACTTTTCATCTGCTAATAATGCGTAGGACACCACCCCGTCTTGACGGAACACAACAGAAGAACAACAAGCAACAGGTTGAGGAAGAGGAGGAGGAAAAAGAGACAGAACAAGAAGAGGAAGAGAAGGGAGAAGAAGAGGGTCATCATGATTTGGCTAAATCCTCTCTATGCCCGTCCTGTAGGCGTGGTTTTGACGTTGCTCTTCTCCTACCATGCTCCCATACCCTGTGTGGGCGCTGTGTAGGGGGTGGAGAGGGGGCAGGGCGATGTGTACTGGATGATGAAGGGGACGGTGTGTGCCATGCTTCCCGTGGTGGCACCCATTCTGCCCACCACCGCTCTAACAGTGCCCCTGTGTGTGCCGTGCTGTGCCCTTGCTGTCGCCACCCTGTGGAGCTGCCATGCTGGGAGTGGGCTTCTGCTACCTACTGCCTGCCCCTCGACCCCACCCTGACCCCTGGGTGGACAGCCAGTAGAGCTGGGGACCAGGCAGAAGGAGGGACGAAGGCCTTCTCACAGGTAACCAAGCTTGTTATTTTCTTTTCAGGTAGGAAGCTAGGCTTATTTCAACTTTGTTTTAGACATGTGAGAGGCACACAAGTCTTATGGATGCGCAATCTTCTCCCATTGCCTTATTCAATCTTTGGATGGATACAGGTCACACCCTCCAAGTGACCCAGTGACTTAACCCTCCCTAACACACCTTCCCATTCCTTCCCACCCCACCCCCACTAATCCCACCTGCAGGGGAATCCATTGGGCAGGGACACAGGGGGTGTCACGGACCAGAGCACTGCTGCATATGGTGAGTGAAATGGCACCTTGGCAGTTAGTCTAGGTTAGACACATTATGTGAGCTCCAGGTTTAAACTGGGAGACATGCCAGGCAGTTGTTATTGCTGTTGCTGTTACTCTTCACAGTGTTGGGTCTCTGGTTCCTCTGAATACTGGCAGGCATCATGGGAAAGTGAGAATGAAATGGGTTAAGGAGAATCTGGCAGGCTTGCTTCCCTACATGCTTTACTGGTGAGTTCTGTGGCTCTGGCCTCGCAATCTGCTTCGAGACACGGCAGAGGCCGGCGATTGTGATAGGGAGTTCGATGGTGAGGCATATATCTGTACCAGGGGCAAAGACTTTGTGTTTCCTGGGGCAAAAGTTCAGGATATCACCAGGTTGATGGTTCATGTGGGGTCAAATTACATTATGAAGGGCAGCTCAGAACAGCTGAAGATGGATTTTAAAGAACTGATTGGGTCTCTACTTGACACCAACAAACGCCCCATAATATCTGGCCCTCTGCCCTCCCTAAATTGTGGCATTGAACAGTTCAGCAGACTTTCAGCCTTCCATAACTGGCTACGAGACTATTGCAGCTCTGTGGGTGTAACATTTATTGACAATTTTGATACCTTCTGGAAACAAAGCTCGTATTATAAGGAGGATGGGATCCACACAAATCATTTGGGTTCCTGGATCCTTTCACAGCATTATAAGGCTGCGTTGAGACAATGACTTATCAATGACCCAAGTCCAGCTCATTTAATCCCTACCATTGTGTTGCTGAGTTGTCATAATGATTCAGTAAATGTATATTATCCTAGGGGCATTGGAAGACACAATGTAAATAACCTAATTTATGTCCTTTTTATAATAATATAATATGCCATTTAGCAGACGCTTTTATCCAAAGCGACTTACAGTCATGTGTGCATACATTTTTACATATGGGTGGTCCCGGGGATCGAACCCATTACCCTGGCATTACAAGCGCCATGCTCTACCAATTGAGCTACTGCTGATCCTACAGCTATTGGATGCAGTACTCATATGCCTATGAACCAGAGTAATACTGTTAGCACTGAGGTGGTGTGCCCTAGTGGGAAGTCCACTTTGTGCAGCTCACCCTGCACTAATAAAAATAACCTGAGTATGTCTACCTCTGCTAAGCTTCCCAGTAAAGCAAGAAAAATAATCAAGCATCCCAGAAAAGTGTTAAAAATAGCCCACGTTAACATATGTAGCTTAAGAAACAAGGTTCATGAAATCAATAATTTGCTAGTAACAGAAGACGTTCATATTCTGACAATCTCTGAAACTCACTTAGATAATACATTTGATGATACAGTGGTAGCAATACAAGGTTATAACATTTACAGAAAAGACAAAAATGCCAACGAGGGCGGTGTTGCGGTCTATATTCAGAACCACATTCCTGTAAAGCTTAGAGAGGATCTCATGTTAAATACTGTTGAAGTAATATGGCTACAGGTTCACATGCCTAAAGCCCATTCTGGTGGGCAGCTGCTATAGACCACCAAGCGCTGACCGTCAGTATCTGGATAACGTGTGAAATGCTTGATAATATATGTGATATCAATAGAGAGGCATACTTTCTGGGTGATTTAAATATTGACTGGCTTTCATCAGGCTGCCCACTCAAGAGAAAGCTTCAAACTGTAACTAGTGCCTGCAACCTGGTTCAGGTTATCAATCAACCTACCAGGGTAGTTACAAACAGTACAGGAATGAAATCATCAACATGTATTGATCATATCTTTACTAATGCTGCAGAAATTTACTTGAAAGCAGGATCCAAATCCATTGGATGTAGTGATCACAATTTAGTAGCCATATCTAGGAAAATCAAAGTTCCAAAGGCTGGGCCTAATATTGTGTATAAGAGGTCATACAATATGTTTTATAGTGATTCCTATGTTGTTGATGTGAATAATATTTGTTGGTCTGTGGTGTGTAATGACGAGCAACCAGACGCTGCACTTCACACATTTATGAAATTGCTTATCCCAGTTACTAATAAGCATGCACCCATTAAGAAAATGACTGTAAAAACTGTTAAATCCCCATGGATTGAAAAAGGAATTGAAAAATGGTATGGTTGAGAGGGATGAGGCAAAAGAGATGGCAAATAGGTCTGGCTGAACAACCAATTGGCAAACGTACTGCAAATTGAGAAATAATGTGACTAAACTGAATAAAAAGAAGAAGAAACTACACTATGAAACAAAGATAAATGACATAAAGAATGATAGTAAAAAGCTTTGGAGCACCTTAAATGAAATTTTGGGCAAAAAGGCAAACTCCGCTCCATCATTCATTGAATCAGATGGCTCATTCATCACAAAACCCCCTGATATTGCCAACTACTTTAATGATTTTTTCATTGGCAAGATTAGCAAATTTAGGCATGACATGCCAGCAACAAACGCTGACACTACACATCCAAGTATATCTGACCAAATTATGAAAGACAAACATTGTAGTTTTGAGGTGAAAAAAGTATTATTGTCGAACAACAATGACAAGCCACCGAGGTCTGACAACTTGGATGGAAAATGACTGAGGATAATAGCGGACAATATTGCCACTCCTATTTGCCACATCTTCAATTTAAGCCTACTAGAAAGTGTGTGCCCTCAGGCCTGGAGGTAAGCAAAAGTCATTCCGCTACCTAAGAATACTAAAACCCCCTTAACTGGCTCAAATAGCCGACCAATCAGCCTGTTACCAACCCTTAGTCAACTTTTGAAAATAATTGTGTTTGACCATATAAAATGCTATTTTACAGTAAACAAATTGACAACAGACTTTCAGCACACTTATAGGGAAGGACATTCAACAAGCATAGCACTGACACAAATGACTGATGATTGGCTGATGATACAAATATTGTGGGGGCTGTTTTGTTAGACTTCAGTGCGGCTTTTGACATGATCGATCATAGCCTGTTGCTGGAAAAACGTATGTGTTATGGCTTTACACCCCCTGCTATATTGTGGATAAAGAGTTACCTGTCTAACAGAACACAGAGGGTGTTCTTTAATGGAAGCCTCTCCAACAAAATCCAGGTAGAATCAGGAATTCCCCAAGCCAGCTGTCTAGGCCCCTTACTTTTTTATATCTTTACTAATGACATGCCACTGGCTTTGAGTAAAGCCATTGTGTCTATGTATGCGGATGACTCAACACTATACACGTCAGCTACCACAGCGACTGAAATGACAGCAACACTTAACAAAGAGCTGCAGTTAGTTTCAGAATGGGTGGCAAGGAATAAGTTAGTCCTAAATATTTCAAAACCTCAAAGCATTGTATTTGGGACAAATAATTTACTAAATCCTAAACCTCAACTAAATCTTGTAATGAATAATGTGGAAATTGAGCAAGTTGAGGAGGCTAAATTGCTTGGAGTAACCCTGGATTGTAAACTGTCATGGTCAAAACGTATTGATACAACAGTAGGATGGGGAGAAGTCTGTCTATAATAAAGCGTTGCTCTTCATTCTTAACAGCACTATCAACAAGGCAGGTCCTACAGGCCCTAGTTTTGTCGCACCTGGACTACTGTTCAGTCGTGTGGTCAGGTGCCACAAAGAGGGACTTAGGAAAATTGCAATTGGCTCAGAACAGAGCAGCACGGCTGGCCCTTGGATGTACACAGAGAGCTAACATTAATCTCTCCTGGCTCAAAGTGGAGGAGAGATTTACTTCATCACTACTTGTATTTGTGAGAGGTATTGACATGATGAATGCACCGAGCTGTCTGTTTGAACTACTGGTGCACAGCTCGGCCACCCATGCATACCCCACAAGACATGCCACCAGAGGTCTCTTCAGAGTCCCCAGTTCAAGAACAGACTATGGGAGGCGCACAGTACTACTAATACTCTATTCCACATCAAGTAACTGATGCAAGCAGTAAAATTTGATTTAAAAAACTGATAAAAAAAAACTTTATGGAACAGTGGAGATTGTGAAGCAACACAAACACACGATAACATAAGCACTATACACACATTGATTTTGTGTTATAGATATGTTGGAGATTATAACAGAACCATGCCAAGATGTTCAAAAATGTTCATAAGTGACAAGCATGGTCAAATAATAATCAGGAATAAATCTCAGTTGGCTTTTCATAGCCGATCATTAGAGTTTAAAACAGCAGGTCTGGGACAGGTAGGGGTTCCATAACCGCAGGCAGAACAGTTTAAACTGGAATAGCAGCAAGGCCAGGCGGACTGGGGATAGCAAGGAGTCACCACGGCCGGTAGTCCCGACGTATGGTCCTAGGGCTCAGGTCTCTCAGTTGGCTTTTCATAGCCGATCATTTAGAGTTGAAAACAGCAGGTCTGGGACAGGTAGGGGTTTCGTAGCCGCAGGCAGAACAGTTGAAACTGGAATAGCAGCAAGGCCAGGCGGACTGGGGGCAGCAGGGTGTCATCATGCCCGGTAGTCCTGACGTATGGTCCTAGGGCTCAGGTTCTCAGAGAGAAAGAGAGAACGAGAGAATTAGAGAGAGCATACTTAAATTCACACAGGACACTGGATAAGACAGGAGAAGTACTCCAGGTATAACCAACTAACCCCAGCCCCCCGACACATAAACTACTGCAGCATAAATACTGGAGGCTGAGACAGGAGCGGTCCGGAGACACTGTGGCCCCATCCGAAGAAACCCCCGGACAGGGCCAAACAGGAAGGATATAACCCCACCCACTCCGCCAAAGCACAGCCCCCGCACCACTAGAGGGATATCCCCAACCACCAACTTACAATCCTGAGACAAGGCCGAGTATAGCCCACAGAGGTCTCCACCACAGCACAAACCAAGGGGGGGGGGGGGCGCCAACCCAGACAGGAAGATCACGTCAGTAACTCAACCCACTCAAGTGACGCACCCCTCCCAGGGACGGCATGAAAGAGCACCAGCAGGCCAGTGACTCAGCCCCTGCAACAGGGTTAGAGGCAGAGAACCCCAGTGGAGAGGGGAACCGGCCTGGCAGAGACAGCAAGGGCTGTTCGTTGCTCCAGCCTTTCCGAAGTAGAGTAGAGGCCTGAGGGCACACACTTAATATCTTGTGAAATCTGTTATGAATGTATTGTAATGTTTTAAAAATGTATAACTGCCTTAATTTTGCTGGACCCCAGGAAGAGTAGCTGCTGCCTTGGACGCAGGCTCACCACTGGAGGGTGCTATAGACCTACGAGAGGAGGAGATGGAACAGTCTGTCTCAGGTCAATGAGTCCAATGCAATACTCTTTATCCAAGGATGTCTTGATATACTGTGTAGAAGAAGAGTAAAAATACACATTTTATTAATTGCAATGCTCCTGATTAGAGGAAATCAGGTTTCACCTTCTCTTTTTTCTTCATCTCTCCCTTCCCAGGTCTGACATTCACCCTGGACCCCTCTGCTGCTGCTCCATCCCTCCATCTCTCCACCTCCTCTCTCACTGTGACCTTCCACGGACCAAGCCCTCCGCCACTACCCTCTCGCCACCATAGCAACAGGGTCACGGGGTCAGTAACAAGCACTGGATCCCAGGAGTCTGCCCCCCAGCCACTCCCTCAGGTGTGTGGGGACGTGGTCATCGTCAGGGGTCAGTTCTACTGGGAGGTGGATGTCTGCAACAGCACCCTCTACAGGATAGGTGAGGAAGTGCACCCTAATCCACCTGGCCGTTATTTACTGGTGGTGGCAGAACAAGTACAAATCCCTGCTTTGATAATAATACTCTTAGTCTCTGGCATGCTGATAAATTCCTACTGACCGACATAAATATGAATTTCCATGGGCTATATTTCTTACACAATCATGTGGCGGTTGTAGCCTACAAATACATACAGGCAGTCTTGTGCAAATGCTCCAGCACAATATTGTCTCTAGTGCATACAGGACACAGGCTGTCTGTCCTACATAAAGTTCATTCACATCCTTTAACTCTGCTCTGTGGTGCCACCCAGTGGTGAACAGGATGTCAGCAGGGATATCCCAGCACTTGGCTGAACCACTAACAATTTAATTGTTTCTTTAACTATTTCTTGTTGGCTTACAAGGCATATTGACATCTGCTCTCTGTAAACAACAGAAAACTCTAATAATTTGGCCCAGCAACAAGCCATAAACAATCTGTTGATTTGCATTAAATATGACAGAAATGTGCAGCTTCATCATTAACTGTAGAGAGTCAGGCCAAATACGTATTAGTGGTTGTTGACCATGATGACTAGCACTGTCGACAGAGCTGTACTTAGGGAATAGGGATACTAAGCGAGGCAATATGGGATGGGAACAGCATTGATATTTCACATATTATTGCTGACTCGTGCCTATCCCACATCAAAAAATATTACAGTTTACTATAGAATACTACAGTACTTATATAGAATTCTGTAGTAAACTGTACTATACTGTAGAATACTATACTACACACTGTAGAATACCTCTATCATGTGTAGTACTTACTATAGAATGGTGTAGTATACTGTAAAATACTATAGTAAATACTACAGTATACTACAGACCACAAACACTACAGTAAACTCTACAGTAAATACTTCAGTAATGTCCGCAAAAACACTACTGTCTGCAAAAACACTGCAGTAATTACTATAGTGTATATACTACAGTATTTCATTTGCATATACCCTGCCCAGTCTGTTCCTACTCCAATCAACATGTTTTTATTCAGGCAAAATGAGGCAACAAATATGTAGCGTTGTTGAGTGCAGAAACAGTCATGTATGCCCCAGGAACCTATTTCATGATGACATTGCAAAGTATATTGGCACGATATTTGAAGACATAATTTCCCATGATGTCTGTTTTGTGACACAGAAAGCAACCACCTTTCCTATTTTCCATACAGGAGTGAGCTCATTGGACGATGCTTGCGGCTGGTGGCTGGAAAGGCGGGGCTTGTCCTTCTCCACTATGTATGATAGCCGTCGGGAGCCCTTACGTGCCGTGCCCCCCCAGATCAAGACCCTAGGGCTGTTTCTCAACATGGGTGGAGGGGCGCTGAGCTTCCACAACCCTCTGACCCAGGAACACCTGGCCACCCTGCCCACTCGCTTCAGCCATGCTGGGGTACGTCCCGCTCTGGGGCTGGGCCAGGGCAGGCTGAGACTTCACTGTGGCCTTCCCCCTCCGCCCCACGTCTTCCTCAGCCCAACGTCTGTCTATAGAGGGCCTACTGGAGCTGGTGAGGGTCGCTGGCGCAGAGACGTGCCCTTCCGGTCTGTACGGACGGTCATCCAGAGGTTTGAGGAGCTGGCGGTGTCAGATTCTGACTCAGGGCTGGTATCCAGTTTTGGGTCGTCCTGCTCCACTCTGGCCGAACCAGGCCCAGGCCTCAGCTTCAGCCTCAGCCCAGGAGCAGCTCTCCATCCTGGGCAAGAGGGGAAGGAGGCTGGGGCAGAGTGACATGTGGAGGACAGAGTATAGTACATTGTACAATGAGGGGCCTCTACCCTGCTGGTGATAGGGGCAAACTGCTACCACATCAAGCTGTCACATCGTCATATTGCAAATAAGGTTGTCATAAGGTTGGTCATGACAGTATGTGACAAATTTGGGATAAACTTGTGAGATGGAAGGGCCATTCTTCTGCTATATGATGGGAGAAAACTGAATAACACCACAAACCCTTTGGGATGAGTTGATCTTTGGATGACCATTTCCATGGTTAATTTCCCATCTCTGAAGAACTCTCAGTGTGGCCCTGTAATTGACTTTCTCCCCAGGACGCTGGGCTTCCTCTCAGCTACACAACCCCCGGAGGTTTGGGGCTGGGCCAGCGCTGTCTGTGGGGGTGTTAGGAGGAGGAGGATGTCTCACTGGGGGTCCCACACTCTGGTGTGGGGGTTGATGGTAGGACAGTAGTGTTGATACGGATGGTGGTGGTGTGTGTGCATGAGGATGTGAGGCGTGGGAGTCAGTGGTGGTAACACTACCAGTGTTGACTCAGGGTCACAAAGACAGGTGGTAAAGTATGTTTATCCTGCAGGCCGTGTGTGTGTGTGTGTGTGTGTGTGTGTGTGTGTGTGTGTGTGTGTGTGTGTGTGTGTGTGTGTGTGTGTGTGTGTGTGTGTGTGTGTGTGTGTGTGTGTGGGCTGGGCCCAGAAGACTACAGGACCCCGATGACTTCAAAAGACAGCCAGGGAAAGAGAGAATGAGAAATATGGAGGGAAGGAGTAGGCCTTTATAGAAATGTAGCAGGTGGAGAGATGGTTGGAGCCGGAATAAGTCAGAAATGTTAGGTTGTTTGTCCACTTGATTGTGATATTCAATCCTACTGCAACATTATTTGTCTGGTCATCAAAACCAGGAAGTAGTATTAAGGAGGGATTTCCCTCTGCCCCATCTTGTCTCTCCATGATCTCTCTGTTTTCTATTTTTTTTTTTTTTTCTGCTGTTTGCATGTTCTGGAATGGACACTCCAATCATTTGGTCAGACCACCCACATTGTAAATCAGCTGTAAATCACATTGTAAAAAAAACGGTAACAAAAATGATTCAAGCCTGGTGTTTGCATATCGAGGGGGGGGGGGGGGGGGGGGGGGGGGCAGATCTGTAAGCAACATGGTAATAGCTGTAAAGAAGAACAACCACACATAGACTTTTAGACTACCCCTTTGGCGCCAAAATGTAGGCCGAGTAGTATAACGGACACACCGGTCTGGTAACATTAAAGAATCAAGCCTAGGCCTAAGCTACTGTATCAGCTATATCCTATACAGTAGGCTGCTACAGTGGCGACGGAGTGACGCAATTCTACAAGCCTGCAGTGATAGAAATCACAGGTGGATCCGAGGTGTCAAAGACAAGCGGTGTTGTGGCCACCTCCTCACCTTACCACGTTTCCAGGCCAACTGTGTTTGGAGATGGCTTCTGGTCGCTAATTGCATGGAAGGCGATAATTAGACTCACGCACTCTCCATCTAAGGAACTCTCGGAAATGGTTTGTGAGAAAAAGCCAACCAAGTGCACCAATTCAATTCGCAGGTCCCCTGTCTGCTTTCATTTCGCCGTTTCGGCAGTGTCTGCAAATTGATTCCGAGCGTTCATACATGAATAAACATGAATTCTAACCAGACCGCCATTTACATTTTGAGTGGGTATAATCTACTTTCCATTGCAAGGAGTAACACAAGAATTAGCCTGACAACACCAAGTAATGTAGGCCTGGTTGGTCTTATTACCATCATTATCAACATCAGCATAACAGTAGCTATAAAGACATCATCCCTTATCGTTTTGTTGTTCTGTCAGTTACCATTAAGAACCAAATTGGAGGCAGTAAAAGGTTTTTCCCCGAGACACATCCTGGTTTTAATTGACCTCATAATGGGCCAATTTAGATGATTAGTTCTGACCGATTAGTTCTGACCGACTTTATATTTGATCATTTATACGTTTAATTTAGAAACACTGGCATGGCTATTCAATCACTAACATGTTATTTTTTTGATCGGAATTGTAACTTTACTCGCTCCTAAAACGCTGGTCATGGTTAATTGATTTTATTAGAGCGCAATCAATGTTTCTTGACATATTAGAAATGATTTCAGACGCGTGCGCTCTCTCTTTCCCTTTCCCTCTCTAATTTTTCTCTCTCTTTTCCCTCTTCTTTAAATGAAAACACACGTCATGGCTTAGGGGAACTACTGTAAACTCCAGGCAAGGCTACTTGTATTCGCGAAATGAGTGCGAGAGAGAGAGACTCATATTTTGTAAATCTAAAGATAAGGACAAACTCTACACAAGCTACCGAGGTGGGCTGACTACACTTTTCAACCCTCAATTTTGAATCCTTTACTTTTAGATATCAAATTATAGGAGGATTTACAATAGACCCAATAGTTTGGCAACATCAACATTTTTCTTACAACACCCAGAATCTGCAAACCAAATGTTTTATGAGCTCAGGCATATCCACATATATCCTTTTTGGAGTTCAGAAAGGTGCACCTTAGCAAGCCATGCGTGTAGGGCAATATTCAAAAGCTACCCTCATTATTCTGTGTGACTCGCATAATATAAATAAATGTGTTGTGTTAGCTCCAATAGACAATTTGATACCCAGTCTTATGAATCGGTCGGTGCAGAATTAAATAAAAGCGGCGGTTATCACTTCGTGATGAAGTGCAAATAGACCATCATCGATTCCATTCACGGGTGCGCGCCTTGCACGGAGGAGACGAGAACCCGCGTGTGAATTCACTCACCTCAATGGAAGTCTCTCACAGCCACATAATGTGACATATCCATAAAAATTACACCTTGTCCTCAAATCAAACGCTATTTGTCCCGTACATATATTTTGCAGATGTTGTCGCAGGAATAAAAAAAATAATGTAAAAAATATATGTGTGTGTGTATATATATACAGTTGAAGTCGGAAGTTTACATACACTTAGGTTGGAGTCATTAAAACTCGTTTTTTCAGGGGGTAGATCAGCTTTAATATTGTAGATAGATTGTAACTTCCATCAATGTAATTGTGTGCATCACTTCCAATCCCCCATATTTGTTTTTATTCTCGCAAATATATATATACATATATATATATACATATATACATATATATACATACATACATACACATGCATATACACATATACATATCCTTTTTATAAATATATTTCCCTTTATTACTTTCCAACCCCACCACCCCTTCCCTAATTGGAGTAAAGTAGTGAACAACAATGCTTAGGCCTCTACTTCCAGCTTATACATACTATATACATTTTATGGACACAGTCAATTTGACAATAATTCTATTTCGTTAGTTTTTACTCCTGAACTTCCTTTACCCTCAACCTCTCCGATTATTTTCATGATGTCCATCCGGTTTGTGTCAAAGGCGACGTGTATGCGGTGAGCGAAGTCAAGCGCAGGACACAGAGCTACTGGCAGACGTACTTTACTAACCAGTAAACGAACATACAAAACAAAACCTCTTAACAGGGAGGAAACAAATACACGCATACGAAACAGCAATGACGACCTTACGGGAAACAAAGCAATAACACACAATTACCAAACGAGAGACAGGGGTAAATATAGGGACTACAATCAAACATAATAGCGAACAGGTGTAAACACTCAAGACTAAACAAGACAAACACCGAAACATCGATCGGCAGCAGCTAGTACTCCGGGGACGACGAACGCCGAAGCCTGCCTGAGCAAGGAGGAGGAGCAGCCTCGGCAGAATCCGTGACAGTTTGCTTCTATATGCCATATCTTTCTAACTGTGCTCTTTCACAAAAGCTCTCAACCTATAACCTATATACTTATTATGGACACAGTATGCTTTACATTATTAGTTATCTTGTTGTTATTAGTTGTTGTTAGTTGTTATCCAGGTAAATATTGAAATCCTTTAGCCATTCCTGGACCTGTGTCCAAAAACAAGCTACAAATGGACAGTACCAAAACAAATGATCTAATGATTCTGTCTCTTCGCAGCAAAATCTGCAGAGCTGGGAAGATTGTATCCCCAATATTAATAACATTTTATTGGTAGCAATAATTTTATATAATAATTTAAATGGAACAATTCTAAGTTTTGAATCAGGCGTTGTTTTGCGTATCAGTTCATAAACACTATGCCATGGAATCGGTACATCAAAAATCTCTTCCCAACTATTTTGCAATCTATATGGGATGGCTGTCAATCCTTTGATCCTTAAATGAAACTGGTATGCTTTTTTATTTATCAGTTTTCTTTAACCAATTATGTTCTTTAATGCAAGGCCGACACACATTTCTTGTTAACAAACTATAGTTTCGGCAAGTCGGTTAGGACATCTACTTTGTGCATGACACAAGTTATTTTTTCAACAATTGTTTACAGACAGATTATTTCATTTATAATTCACTGTATCACAATTCCAGTGGGTCAGAAGTTTACATACACTAAGTTGACTGTGCCTTTAAACAGCTTGGAAAATTCCAGAAAATGATGTCATGGCTTTAGAAGCTTCTGATAGGCTAATTACATTTACATTTACATTTTAGTCATTTAGCAGACGCTCTTATCCAGAGCGACTTACAGGACTAATTGACATAATTTGAGTCAATTGGCGGTGTACCTGTGGATATATTTCAAGGCCTACCTTCAAACTCAGTGACTCTTTGCTTGACATCATGGGAAAATCAAAAGAAATCAGCCAAGACCTCAGAAAAAAAATTGTAGACCTCCACAACTCTGGTTCATCCTTGGGAGCAATTTCCAAACACCTGAAGGTACCACGTTCATCTGTACAAACAATAGTACGCAAGTATAAACACCATGGGACCACGCAGCCATCATACCGCTGAGGAAGGAGACGCGTTCTGTCTCCTAGACATGAACATACTTTGGTGCGAAAAGTGCAAATCAATCCCAGAACAACAGCAAGGACCTTTTGAAGATG